TTTTCTTTGTATTTTTGCCCTCTATGGACAATAAAAGCGGTATTGTGCTATGACCCAAACAGAAATATAAATCTATATAAATAAAACATGAATTGGAATATTTCATATCACACACTTTTTATGCTGTGTCTTTGATTTAAAGATGACAATACGCAAAAATCTACAAAAATTGTAGAAATTGTAATATATGGGGTAAACCATGTGTTACAAACATCGTAGAAATTGCAGCACAAGGGTTACGGACCGCCATGTTAGTCTGCTTGTTTCTATGGAAAGTGACTTTCGGCGGGTTTCGTTTGGCGCAAGAGTTTTTTTGGTGTGCTAATAAAAAACACGACACACTCTCTCGGAGTGCGAACGCGAGAAATTGTCGCTTTCTTCGAGTTTATACAATTTCCACACCTTGTTTTTTAAAGTTTCGTAGATTTGCGTCTTTCCGACTCAAAGTGTCTGCTGGATGTTTTTAACTTTGTGTCCAGCCTCGCTCAAACGGATGCATTTCACTTGCTCCGCTCCAGTCATTACAGTTCTTCTACGTTTCGATGCCATGATCTACACCAGTGTTTTTCAACCCGTGTGCCGCGGCACACATTGTCAGGTGTGCCGTGGAAAAATATCCAATTTGTATGCCTGTGCGGTCTTTCGCCCAGAAAGTAATCATGCACAACAGCTAGCCAATTGCCTTGTGTTTCGACGAGAGACAAGCGGATTTGTGACGCATGAATGCAGGACGACGGTGAAACAATAAATATGAAAGATGATAAAGTACAGTTTTCTTTGTGTTCATTTGATTCCAATTCAAGCTGTTACAACGTCATTCTTCAATGTTAAAAACGGTTATAGTAAAAATATAACACGTTGTTAAAATAAGCATTTTCAGCTAGTGGTGTGCCGCGAGATTTTTTTCAATGAAAGAAGTGTGCCTTGGCTCAAAAAAGTTTCAAAAACACTGATCTACACGACCTAAGTGAATAAAGTTAAAATCTTTCGCAATTGCAGTAAAACGCACATAAAAAGTCACTTACACGTCTTCGTTTCGAATCTGATGAATGAAAATGGCGAGGCGAACACGTTTCTTCAGTCGTGTCGAGTGGGTGCTGCTTTTAAGCTAGTGCCGCGTTCTACAGGACGTTAAGTGAATAAAGTTAAAATTATTCACAATTACAGTAAAACGCACGCCAATAAAAACTCACTTACACGTCGTCATTTCGAATCTGATGATCGAAAAACGCAAAGTAAAAATGTGTCTCAGCGTCGTGTCTTTCCATAGCATCGGGTGGGCGTTGCGTGTATTTAAACTCCCGCGGCATGACGTCTCAATCCGGGTTACGGGTAGTGGAATTTCCGCTTACGTAAGTTCCGGTAACATGTAATATCGTAGTCAAAATGTTAATGCATAGGTTTTTGTTCCGGGTGAAGGAAATTCCTTTTCATAGAATTCCGGGGATGGGAATATTTACTGTAGATTGTTTCCCATATCACTCAGCACAACTGGCTATGTATAACCTTGGATTTTGTCTGATACCTCACGAATTGCGATTTTACCTGTCACGCCACCCTGGTCTGTCCTAACCCCTGAATCACTGTCTCATAATCTCCACCTCGGAGCAATGCAGTATGTCAAGATCCGGCTTGACTGGTTTGCAGTCATTTCATCATACTTAAAACCGTACGCTACACTCCATCAGTACACCGCCCTTGAGCTTTTGAAACTCCAGCTTCACGTGTCCTCATCTGCTCCCCTTCCTCCATTTGAGTTTGGGATTCTACAGGACAGGGGTGCCCATTACGTCGACCGTGATCGACCTGTAGCTTGCGGACTGGTACCAAGTCAATCGTGAGGAGTGCAAAGTTAAAAAACAAAGAAACATTTGTGTGTCTCTGTGCATGTTAGTTATGTACTTTTTGTGTTGATGCACACTGCACCCTAATCATCCTATCAGTCTCACACAAAAAGCATTTTAAAAATAAAATGAAATAAAGCAAGTCACCTTTAACCTACATTTTAAAATGGTACGCATGAGCTACGATAGTTAACAGGCTGCAAAGTGCCTCCCTTGCCTCTGTGTCAGTCTCTACTAAGGGAGGCAGGAAAAAATCCTTTTCACAAACTCAAACTCTTGTCTACTTTATTTTTCTATTTCATTCATTTTAAGGGCCATTATGACTGTTGCTCATCATGGAATGTGTGTGCAAGTGCATGCGTGGGCAAGTGCATGCCTATGCGCGTGTGCGCAGTAACGGTTCGATCGCGGGATGTTGGTTGATCAAGAAGTAGATCTTAGTTCAAAAAAGTTTGGGCACCCCTGCTATAGGACATTGCCTAAGAGCCCCGCCACCGCTGTGTTTACTGAGGGTCATGCCGTAAATTAACTTTGAATGACCCTCATTGCATTTATTCAATCTGGTCTACAACCCCCCGTCGCATCCAATACCCTATTCGGACTAGCAGCTACAGTCACCTGGCTAATTTAGCCAGGTTAGCTAATCCTACTACCTGCAACAGCTCCACCACAGGCAGATTTGGACTGGTCAACAATTGCTCACTCTCCACCAAGTGGCATCTCATCCTAGAACTTCTTACAGACCTTAATCTGGACAATCCACAACTAAAATTTGGCAACTATCGGATTATTTCGTCACACTGTACAACTGCACTCTGCCTGGTTTTGTTTGTGTCTTTGAACCGCGGGCTAGTGGGCAGGGCAGCAGTCTTGCAATATTTCACCGTTTGAACTGGAAATTCATCCAAGCCACTGCTCCTGCCTTCGCTTCATTTGAACATTCCACCTCACTACTTCCTAGTCATTTCCCAAACCAATTTAGTAACTCTCTATCGCCGTCCAAAATATAACAAAGATTTTATCAATTACTTTTATAAATGACTTTTCCCAGCTCCTCACTCAACTCTCATCACTGGCTCAAAAGATAGTCATCCTGGGCGACTTCATAGCACTGATCCCCACTCTCAAAAGACTTCATTCATAGCTTTGGTTTATGTCCACTTGCCAACAAATAATAAGAGCCCTATTTTCGATCGAATCTGTTGTTCTGGTTTTTCTGCTTCTGATTGCATATCACACCCTCTTCCCGACACCGACCATTTTATTTACAACCTTTAATGTTAAACTCTCCCTGTCCAAACGTGTCCTTCCCCAAACTATTTCCGCAAAATCAAGGACATCAACACTGAAACACTGTCTGCTGACATTTTTGACCTTCGTAGAACAACTGCCAACAGCCCACCAGATGACCTTGTTTTCCACCACAATACTCAGTCTGATCCAATTCTGAACACTCATGCACCTCTAAACGGAGAAGTCCCTTCGCCAACTCAGATCCCAATGAATACAACTGGAATGTCTAAACAATAAAACTGGACTAACTCTTCACGAAGAAATGTACAAAATACATCTTAGTGTTTACAAGGACAATATAGTGTCATCCAAATCCGACTACTACTCTGATCTAATTCAGTCACACCGACTCCATTTCTATCTTTTTTTCTTTTGCTTCCAAAATCAGGAACATTCATCATCACCTGACCCCTTGCACAGCTTCAGTTGACCCCACCCCTCGTCCTCCCACCCCTATGACCTTGCTTTGCAACTTTATTCTCCCCTCCATCCATACCATATCGGATCTCGTCATAAAATCTAAATAAGCCAACTTGGTTCACTTCCAACTACACTGCAAAATCTTGTCTTCCCCGATGAGGAAAATCCAAGTTACTTTGTATTTGAATCGTTACCCTGTGTCCACCAGGCCATTTACTGCTACATGGGTTTGAAGAGTCTCCACTGTCATAAGGGTCGCGGGGCGTGCTGGAGCCTATCCCAGCTGTCTTCGGGCAGTAGGCTGGGTACACCCTGAACTGGTTGCCAGCCAATTGCAGGGCACACACAGACAAACAACCATCCGCGTTCACAATCACACCAAGGGATAATTTCGAGTGTTCCTTTAACCTGCCATGCATGTTTTTGGAATGTGGGAGGAAACTGGAGTACCCGGAGAAAACCCACGCAGTCATGGGGAGAACTTGCAAACTCCACACAAGAAGGCTGGAGTCGGAATTAAAATCGAACCTCTGCACTGTGAGGCATACACATACAGTATATTAAAAAAATATATACAGTACACTGTACACCCAGATTTAATACCTCTCAACAGTTGCATCCTATCTTTAATTAGGGTGCGTGCATGCATGAATCTAACTTTAGAAGTAGTGTTATACACTGCAGTTCTTGTAATTCAAAGTCTGTGCACTGTAAACTGTATGATCGAAATGTTTTCAAATATTTTTCTTGAATTTATATTTCACAATACTTGATCTTGCTGATGGTGTTTTTTAATCCTGCACTCAAATACCCACCCATACCCCAAAAAACTAATACTAAAACTAAATTAAAACTGTTTTTGAAGCAAATTAAAGTAATAAAAAAACAAAGCTGCCCTGGAAACAAATTAAAATTAAATTAAGAAAAAAAAACTCAAAATGAAATAGGAACACTAACTACACCGGTAATTAATATCCTAAAATGATAATAATCCTGCTTTTGACACTGGGATACAGGTTCAAATCATGGTCATGCTGAATGGTAACATCCAACTGGGCTAGCTAAACTAGACCCCCGCCACTAATTTGTAGTCACTGCCCGTCCTAAGCCCAAATGAAAATGGGTGGGTTGTGTCAAGAAGGGAATTCAGTGTAAAAACTGCCAAACCTATCATGCGAGTGACTCGTTGTGGGAACCATTTAGAGGAAAAAAACAAAAGTCACTTATGTCGTTTACAATGTATCGGTTGACCGTCCACACGGAAACACGTTTCACTGGTTACACACTTTTTTTTTTTTTTTTTTTTGTAATTGTCCACATGGAGCTGGCATCTTGGGAGCTCAAAAATTTTGAAACCACTGCCCTCCTGATACGTACTTTTCCTGAGATGATGACATACTTGTCCCAGTTCTCACATGACCGTGCACATACACTAGCAAAATTTACAGTACAGCAACATGTATTGCCATGTTCGGCTTGTACTGCAGAAGCTCCTAAGCATGTAAGCCACTGTGACATTATGCACTGTTTGAACACGCAACACTTTGTTTCAATATCGAAAATTAAATAACTACCTAAATGATCAAATTAAAAATGTACATAAATTTGATGAAAATTGAGGAAATACACGTCTGTAAATAAGCAGTTGTACAAGATTAAATGCAAATATATTGTACTTAATGTTCAATCAAACGAAACTGTATTTAACCGTGTACCACTAGTGGTGCTCATACCACACTTTGAGAATCACTGCTTTAATGTATTAAAAAAAAACAACTCATCACACTTTGAGAATCATTGCTTAAAGGCAGGGGTGTCAAACTCATTTTTGTCATGGGCCACATTTTAGTTACAGTTTCTCTTGGAGGGCCGTTATGACTGAAACCATATAGAGAAGAATAACGGTTTATTGTTTATTGTTCAAGTTACTGTAAGGAGGGGTTTGGTAACAAGAACATTCTTCCAACATGTCTCTTACTTATGAAATATGAGAATTTTTAATTTTGGTAGAGATTTTAGCAAGCATCATGGAAGTTGATGTGCTTGATTTGCTTTTGCGGGCCACATAAAGTGATGTGGCGGGCCGGATCTGGCCCCGTGCCTTGAGTTTGACATCTGTGCTTTGAGGCATCAAAAACGAACATTGCAAGAAGGGGGCAAGATATTTAAACCAACTCATGGACCTGGACCTGTTGAGTACGATGTTAGAAGTGAAATAAAAGACAATCAAAATTGTTGCCCGTTGATTTCATTGCAAGCCATTACTTATGTTCTGTATTTTCATTTCTCATTCTCAGACTCATCAATCAGGTTCAAGCAAACTGTGCTCAGGATATTTTCATGAAGGTGGCCAGGAGCATCTTTGCTGATGGCATCAACTGGGGTCGAGTTGTGGCTCTCTTCCATCTAGCATACAAACTCATATACAAGGTAACAAGCCAAAGTGATATGTCACATGAAATATTCCCCAGCCTCACAGTGGGTGGGAACAGTGAAAGTTTTGCATTGTCATCATATTTAAGTTGTACTTTCAGTTGACATTTGTGATCATAAATGTATGCCTACTGTCATATTTTCAGTATCTGAAATGAATCCCGGATTTTTAACTTCTTGTACTGTAAAGAACTGCACATTGGAGTACCTGCAAAAGACCATCTTACATTGGATTTGGCCCAGATCCGCCGTCTCAATAAAGGTTTCATGTCAGCTCGGTGGTTATCATATCGTTCGACAGAACTTAAGCCTTTCGATCGTAGCCATAGACCAGGGGTCGGAAACCCAAAATGTTGAAAGAGCCATATAGGACAAAAAACAAATATGTCTGGAACCGGCAAAAAAATAAAAGCCTTCTATAAAACTTACATTGAAGGAAACACATGCTGTATGTAGGTAGGAGACTGGACTGTCTCAGAATTGTTTGTTATTCATTCCTTTGTTGTGTGTTCACAAACGCCCCCATAGAATTTATTTTGTGATTTCCTCGCTTGATTTTTTTGTTTTGGTGCATTATTTTCGCTTTTCTTAGAGTCAGTGAAGTGATCATTAATTTCCGTTTTTCTGAGGCTGCCTTTGAACGCCTCTCGAGTCGAAAGAGAAGAGAGAAGGCACGAAGTCGGACGCAGACTGTGTGTTTGTTAAAAGCATAAATAAAGTGTACGTTTTAAAAAAACAATACAACCGCTCTCCTTTTTCGGAGCTGCAACATGTATCAATATCTATTTGAGCTATATTAGCCTACTATCAAAATCTTTTTCCATTTTCAAACATTTTTTTATAAAGCTCCAGGGATCCACTAGATATCGCTAAAGAGCCGCATGCGGCTCTGGAGCCGCGTGTTGCCGACCCCCGCCATAGACAGATACACGATGCTGTATAAATATAGTGAAGGCACAACTTTGCCTGCCGTTTTCTTCATTCGCGCATCATACAGGTCCCTCCTCAAAGATTGGGCAGCGGGGCATTGATCAGTCTTTATGCAGTTCTTAGGATGTAACAATAACAATATTAAAATCGCCTCAATACTGTCATGTTAAAATATTAAAAGCAGCACATCCTCATAAAAGAAACATTACTGAAAGACAGTTTCATCAAAACACAGCATTGTGAACCACATAGACCATGAAACTTGGCGCTGCTGACCCAATAGAACACGTGACAATAAAATGACTGGCCAAGCGTACTGTATTTCTTTATCACTGCTCTTATGTACAAGAACAAAATAGTGTGCTTTTTTTCTCAACGTCATGAGCTTTTTCTTTACAATTTTTAATTTTTTTTTTTTACAGCATCAAGCTGTCGATGATAGCTGTTTTTCGATGGCAGCTTTTGATTTTGTGCTCCTGTTAGCGGTCAGGCAAAGAAATGTGGTGCTTTCGCCGATCTCATTGGAGCCCCCTGGATAAATGCTTGTAATATTAATTCCTCTTGAGCCCTGGCGTCGAAAGTACCGTATCCCTCCAAGCATGATGGCGGAAGTCTGTAGTTTCGGTGCCCCAACTCCAGCCACCTCTCTATTTCTGGTTCAACAGCTTCTCCTTGGCTTTATTTGTGTTTCCTTGAATGACTGAAACACTGTCGCATGGCTCCCTATCGAGCAGTCGTGTGTAAACTGGGCCCTCAGGTGTGTTGCAGCATGGAGAGATGGAAAGCAGACAGGACAGTGGCTATTGAGAACTGGAGCTGGACATGCCCGCCCTGTAGCCTGCCAGTCAAGACGCTCATGTGGTTTGAGGTCCATAAGGATCTGTAGAGTCCCCCCCACCCCACCCAAGGGCAAGGGCAACCTTCGACTGCTGTCCCCCGAAGAGCCTGGCCATTAAACTGTAGTGCCAACATTACCTGGACAAGGTACATTTCCAGATGTCCTCCTCCATTGTAGTGCAGCAGTTTGACTGTACCCTGTTGCCGGGGCATCTCCAGCGTTGAGTGTGGAGGCATTGGGGCACTGGAAGTGCCCATGCTGTCAGTCCACTAGGAGACTGACAGCATCGAAGCCGGATTCGCTCCTTGGGTCCTGTTGCCAAGGGTTAGTTGTCGCTCAACATGTCTGGACCATCCATCCTAAATTCCTACAGCCACGCCTCCCCTTTTTTTTTTTTTTGTCAAGCGAGTTGCGAAGTCCTCAATCTCTCAGAGTGTGGTCGCCATCTGCAATCCCACTTCTGACACCAATGCGACACTCTCGTTTGTGTTTCAAGGATGACACAGTTGCCGATGATCATCTGTTGCTTTACTCCCACAAGTGGTAACAAAATACACATTCATTCAGGAGCTGCTATGGGCCACAGCTCACGCATAGTCACCCAACACCCCGACTCCCTGCTTAAACTACCCTTCAAGTTTCGATAAGGTAGATAAGAAAACCTTTATTAGTCTCACAATGGAGAAATTCCCAATTTACAGCAGCAAAATTATGAACTGGACAAAGTTGAAGACAAAAAGTACATAAGTATGAATACAAAATATAAATATAAGCATATTAAAAATGGGTGAGTGGGGGTGAGTCCATGAGTTATATGGCATTTCTACCCTTTTATCTGCAATGTTCCTGAGATCCCTCTTGTTCTCTGTTCCTTCCCTCTTCCATTCAAATACATCACATACAGGCTTACAGCAAAGCAAATAAATAGCAACTTTTAAATTAATACAACTATTTCCAGGCATGCTGGGACATGTGTGGCTTCACCACCACAGTATCATAAAAACAATTTATATCAATAATTTTTCTTCAGCAGCAATGTCACTCAAGAATTCACACCATTAGGACCAACATGATAAGATAAGATAAGATATCCTTTATTTGTCCCACACTGGGGAAATTTACAGTCTACAGCAGCAAAATTGGGGGGTAGAAGAAGAAAAACAAAGTGTTTTACACAGTTCAATTAAGCGCAATATAAATATAGATATAGATAAGGTGGCTGTGCTATTTACAATTGTTACTGGTTTTTCATGTATTTTATTTTTTATTCAGCACCCTGACAGCAGTCGGTAAGAATGAGCGGCGGTATCTCTCCTTTTTGCAGCGCGGGTGTAACAGTCTCTGGCTGAAGGAGCTACCCAGTGCTGTCAGGGCGGGCTGGAGGGTGTGGGAGGGACTATCCATCATAGCTTTTAGCTTAGCTAGCATCCTCCTGTTGCCCACCTCCTCCAGAGTGTCCAGGGAGCAGCCCAGGACAGAACTGGCCCTCCTGACCAGTCGTTCCAGTCTCTTTCTGTCCCGGGCCGAGATGCTGCCTGACCAGCAAACAATGCCATAATGAATGTCCGAAGCCACCACCGAGTTATAGAATGTCTTAAGGAGTGACCCCTGAACCCCAAAAGACCTCAGTTTCCTGATAATACAATAACATAGTGGTCCTAAGTGCTCTTAAAAGAGAGGCAGTGGTTTTATTCCTAAAATATACGTGTTTATTGTCATAGGACAGTGCAGCATTATGCAGTTCAAACGTCAACATGGTGCTTGAATGTAGGAAAATAAGAACATACTGAAGTTATGATTACATTTAAATGTATTCAGTTTTCAATAAAAATCGGATTCTAATAAATGTTTAAAAAAAACTGAAACGATGTAAAATCCTTTGTGTTAAAAAAATAAAAATTTTAATACAATATGTCTAAAGCTAAGTGTTGAAAATATGTGCAAAGACTGAGATCAATTTAGTGCTGAATTTCCACGACATAGAAAAACTCTTTTTCACCCTCTCAGTTGTCACTATTTTTGGGGCAGAGGCTAAACCTGAGATGAGCTGATGCACGAGATAGGAAAACCTTTATTTGTCTCACAATGGAGAAATTCCCAATTTACAGCAGCAAAATTATGAAAGGGAGTGGGGGGGTGAGTCCAGGTTTTCGGGACCATCTATTCAATAGCCTGACAGCAGTCGGCAGGAACGAGCGACAGTACCTCTCCTTCTTGCAGCGCGGGTGCATCAGTCTCTGGCTGAAGGAGCTGGCAGGGTGGCCTGGAGAGGGTAGGAGGGTCTGTACATCTGTTAGCTTAGCTAGCATCCCCCTGTTGCCCACCTCCTCCAGAGTGTCCAGGGAGCAGCCCAGGACAGAGCAGGCCCTCCTGACCAGTCGGTCCAGTCTCTCTCTGCCCCGGACTGAGATGCTGCCTGACCAACAGACTATGCCATAATGAATAGCTGAGGCCACCACAGAGTCAAAGAAGGTCTTAACCCTGAACTCCAACAGACCTCAGTTTTCTGAACAGGAAGACCTTCCTGATCAGAGCGTCCTTGTTGTTAGACCAGTTTAGTTCATTGTTGAGAAGAACACCCAGTTATCTATCAGGAGTGCCCATACTTTTGGACCAAAGGTCGACTTTTCGATCAACCAACCTCCCGTGATCGACCTGTTACTGCGCACGCGCATACACACGCACGCCATGATGAACAACAGCCTGACACAGAGACATGCGACGCACCTTGGCAGCCTGTAAACTATCGTAGCTCCAAGTGCTTCCCTCTAGATTACTATTCTTTGCCCGTGCACTCGATAAATTGTACACGAAACAAACTCTGAATGAGAATAATGATAACAATAAAAGATATAGCGCAACAGCTGTGATCACAAGCTGCAATTGCAGACTGCTGAGCACTAACAACTTCCGGTGACACAGGTCACGCACCACCATAGGTTAAAGATTTACCCGCTTTATTTTATTTATTTATTTATTTCATGCTTTTTGTGAAAATGAGACTGATAGGATGATTAGGGTGCAGTGTACATTAACACCAAAAAATATATTACGAGAATGCACAAAGACACACAAATGGTTGTTTTTTTTTTTTTCTCCTCTGCACCCCTCGCGATCGACTTGGGACGAGTCCGCGATCTACCAGTCAATCGCGATCGGAGTAATGGGCACCCCTGCTCTCTGTGTCCTTACCCTGGATGTTCATCGGTGCAGGTGAAGACTGTTTCTT